GGGTTTAAAAGCATCCGTCATCACTATGCTATGTCTTTATCTGAGTGATTAGGCTTCAGGTCAATAGGTCAGCACAAATTTATAAAAGAGAATCGTTTATGATTTAATGAGCGAAGATGGTTCATTTCTCCTAACAGATGGCAATGGAGATGAATCATGAGGCTGTCCAGACAACCTTTTATTTTTACTAAAATGCTATCTGGGGAAAAGATTCTGCTTGTATATATAATGTCTTTCTTTCTTTTAACTCTTCTGTATGTTTATTTTTATCATTCTGCAGATTTAGACACTCTTTGCAATAATTAACCCCTTAGGAAATAGTTAAGTTATTTTGTGAAATAGTTATTTCACAAAAAAAAAAAAATGTGGAAAGGAGTGCAAACTAAGTAGCACATGTTGCATCACAGGAATATAGAAACATAATAGTTTTGAAATTCAGGAAAAACTGAACAGTCTCTACAACCCAGTTGTAGGGACTAGCAACTTCTTCCATAAAACTGTTCTGAATGAAACTGTGTGAAATGTTGAAATTATTGATGATAATCTCACAAGAATTGCAAACAGTACTGCATGTCTAATAAACAATGGTTTATTTTGCTGATTTATTTGGATATTTAAAGCTTACTTAAAGCTCAAATTTCTGGAGGCTTTCAAACTAAAAAAGATAGTACAATTGTAGTTAATGTTTGATAAATTTAGAAATAATGCCATAATACTATAATCGTAATTACAAATCACATTTAGCTAAGCATTAGTTAGCTTCCTCAGTCATATCCTGAGACTCTGAATTATTATATGACATGTTGGACACATATCAAAATGTATAGAAAGTATGTGTATTGAATTTTATAGATCTTCCTACTACATTCAGATATGACTTTAAATTGAGTTATGAAAAATATATGACTAATAAAAATACAATTAAAGCTTTTTATAAATGCCTAAAACAAAACATAAGCGCATTGATATTTATCAATATTGTTAATATTATTCATTGCATCCTTTACTTTCCTGATCAAAAAACCAAGTTGCTGCCATAAGTTAAAACATGATACAGAAGATTAAAAGCTAATGCTGTTAATCGTAAAACCAATTAACAGTTTAAAATCTTGACCAAATAAAAACATATTTATAGGTTACCTAAATGCTTGCTAATGCATTTAATAGGAGTAAATTTCTTAACTTGGAAACAACTAAATAAATGGATATGGTCAATACTGGAGCTGAGATTGGACTCAAGGTACTGTCTTGTGCTTAGAATATATTTCTTTTCAAGTCAATTTTCATTAGCAAGAACATTCAGGAAGTTAATTAAAAGCACTACTTTGGAATGGGACATGACATAACCCAATCTTAAGCAATTTGGCACTGTACAATTCCATAACCTGAAATAGAAGGCAATATAGTGAGTAAAGAAATGGCTCTCTGTTGGTATGTGGAGTACCTATGCCAATTTCTGGATAAATTTACCAAGTTAGTATAGCACAGTATTTCAGGAAAAAAAATTATATCATGGTTAGCATGTTGGACTGGAACCAAAGTGACCACATGAAAATTGAAGTGATTTTGAGCCAGTCACTTCCTCAAAAGTCTAACCTATTTCACAGGGACCTTTTGTGGTGCTACTGTGAGTTCCTGGAAGAAAGGCAAAATAATTCTAAAATGAAACAAAATAATAAAATATCTCCCTTTACCTCAGTCTTAGAAGTGGCTTCAGAAAACACTATTTCAGGATAGATTTAATCACTTTATTTATTTATAATATTTCTCTCTTGCTTTCCTCTGATGGACACTAGTGTGTCATTCTGTATTATAACTATCTTTTCTGTAGCTAAAAGTAGCTAGAAATTTTTTGGCCTTTTTTCTTTTCTTTCTTTTTTTTTAAAAAAGAAGAAAATATGTTGTAATTTCATCAATAAACTTAATTCTCCATTGTGTTTGGTCTTAAGAAGTAAAAGCCAATCCATGGGGGGTGTTTTGTCCCCCAAATTTATAAAAACCATTGAATTTTGACACTTCAACCTAACACCATTACACGATAGATTAAATATCTCAGTAGTGAGAGCTCCAAACTTCTGGCTTTCATTGCCACATTGTTAAACACGCTCCCTAAAGCTTCTGTATGACAAATCCTCACCCAAATCAAAATTTTGCAGTCATGATTTGCAGATTTCCTTCTTTTCTCTTCTTCCTTACATTTCAAACTTCTCCAAAGTTTTCTCCCAGCAGCAAAGATGACAGAATGCACACAGCAGTTGATCAGACTGACATTTCCAAAGCAGATAAAAACTCACAAGGTAACTGACTGTACTTTGGCCAATTTTAATGTGATTGAGAGTTGCTCTCCCTTTTCTAAATGCTACTGCATTGAGAGCCTGATAGTCTCTTGGGTCCAAATTAATTCCCAAAGTGTGAGAAAATAACCTCCCAAAATATCACACAGCTTTGAAGCTTTGTCTGACACCTTTGGATCCTAACTACAGAGGTGGCAAGAATATGTCCTTTTATGAAATTAACTATGAGTTACACTGAACACAAAGTGCTATATTCCCCCTTCCCCTGGGATTTGGGTCAACTGAACACACATACCAGGGAAGACGTCATGCCCCATGCTTAACTGATTATTTCTGTTTTAATGAAATAAAATGCCCAAAGCTGTATGTGTGCAAATTCTACAAGCAAGAGTCTTCTGTTATTATATCAGTATGATCCATTTAACCAGAGTACCAGGATGGTACGTACAGGTCTTTCTCCATTGACTTGCAGCTATTGTTAAGTAGTGTACTGTATGTGCTATGAAGAATTTTGAGCTCAATACTCAAGTGCACATGTACATGGATAACACCCTTATATCCTTCTTCTCCCTGCTCCTCCTCCTCCTCCTCCTCTCTAGAACCATGAAGTACTATTGTTTTGATAGCAAAATGGCTTAGGCTTCATTTAGTATTCCTGCTTCTTTACTTCAGAAGCCTGAGATGAATGGAGACCTTGTACATGAAAACATAGCCTCGTTTCTTTTGGCCATAGTCAGTATGTCAAAGTAGTTGTTACAGAATTTATAAATCTACATACTTCCGGCTGACATCGTGGCAATATCAGATGCAGGGAAAGTGTCTCCGCATTCCCTGTGCTGAGTTCTCCCTTTTTGTGGGCTCTGAGAGGAGCCAAAGCCACTCTGTAGGGGCGGCAAAGTAAAGAAGGGATGCCCTGAGAGGTCGCAGGAGAGATTGCAACTCTCCTGCTGAATCCCAGCCTTTTTTCTCTCTATGTCACGGCAAGGAGAAGAGGCAGCCTAAAGATGGCTGCCACAAAGCTGGGACAGCCAAGAAACATCTAAGAACTGTACTGAAGCAGAGTTGGTGAACAGTGTCTGGAACTGGGTGACAAGAATCCTTTTTATCTAAAACTCAACCCCAAAAGAATATCCAGGAAAAGAGAGTCTCACTGCTATTGTTAAAAGCAGCAATTTAACAGCAATTATTTGAGAATAATTTCAAAATTGAATGAAAAAGAATCAAAGGGAGAAAGGCAAAACCCTTTAAAAATACAGAAAATTGGATTTTTAAATTGGACAGGCATGTTTTGGATGGGTATTTTAAAACACCGGAACTATTTATTTAAAAAACTAATATCATTATATTTTGGATTGTTACCATTAAAATTAGATTAAACTGGTTAATATTGAAATTTGACACCTGCTGACAAAAGGAAGGCATAACACAGTCCAAAATCTTGAAGTACCTGGCTATTGGAGATTTAAACGTGAGAATAAGAAAGAAACTATTATTAAAGTGACCCCTGAAGGCTACAACCCAATACTGAATTTATAGAGGGACCTATGAAGGTTCTGGAAAAATTCTTGGGACTATCCAGAAGAACAGGTCAATCATCTTTGGAATATAAAGATTCATGAATATTGAAATTTTTAGAAAGTGACTTTAGGTTTGAATATATGATTTTTGGATTATTGGACAAAAGAGGGACAAAATAAAACTAAACTAGATGCTTCATCAGCAAGAAAAAAGTGGAATTTGGGGAGAAACAGAATCATTATTTCAAAACATTAAGAATAATTTAACAAGAAGCTACAAGGAGATTATGAATAAAATGCAGAGCATAGATGGAGACTTGAAAAACATGATACAAAGGACAAGGAGTGACCAAAATGCCCAGGAAGAGGAGGAGCCAATTGAAAGAGTAGGTGAAAAAACAGAACAGAAAAACCAACAAATAAAACGAGATGACAAGAAGGAGATAACTGCAAAAACAACAATGACTGGTGAAATAAGCCGAGGTGTATTGTAAGGGAATTAATAAAAGAAGTTTTTTAATTCCCTTACTTAATTCCTGGAGTTGCAGGAAGATTTTTTTGGAAGAGAGATAGGGGCAAGAGTAGACATTTTGAAAATTAGACAATGGAATAGGGCAGAGAAGGGAGAAATGTTTAAAATGATTGGTCAAGATAGAGACAAAGATCCAAGAGAGGAATATGGAAGGCATAAGAAAAGGACAGTTAAAGCTTTAAAGTGGACAAGAGGCGATGGATAGAAAGGGAATATAATATAATAGTGGCATAATTAAAAGTTAGAATAGGGATGCAAACTAGAGAGAGGGGTTTAATAGAATACATATTTTTATATAATAAGGTGAAATAATAACAAGAGGGGAAATCAGATTTTGAATGATGGTATTATCAAGTATACTTGAACAATATAGTGTTTGGCATAAAAATAATATTGAAATATTGAATAATTAAATGATGGAAGATTATAACTTAACATAAATATGTGTATTATTATTAAAACCATATAGGCTTGCTAAATGTAATAAATATGATTAATAATATTTTATTTATAGTAAAAGGAATAATACTCAGAATATGGTGACTGGCATAAAAATAACATATTGAAATATTGAATAATTAAATAATGAAAGATTATAACTTAACATAAATATGTATACTATTACCAGAATTATATAAGCTTATCAAATGTAGTAAATATTATAAATATTATTTTATTTGTACTAAAATGTAAGACACTCAGGTGCCATACTGTTCACACATTGATATGTTTGTAAAAAAATAAATAAAAAATAAAAAACTTGGGAAGAAAAAGAATTTATAAATCTATTGATCTCCCATATAAAGAAAAAATCTTGGGAAATAGTTGGGATCACAAAATTATTGCACTCTAAAAAGTTCCTTTGATGACCAGTGTCCTATACTTCAGACTGAAAACTTTTGTTGTTTCTACAAAAATTTCCTGCAAGGGTCAGCATGTGTTTTGTATCTGGAAGATCTCTGTTTTAATTCTAGACAATCCATGAAGAGCTAAAAGAAATTCTCAGAAATCCTGGAGGTCAGTTGCTAGTCAGTGTCAATATTACTGTAATAGATAGATGAGTGGTAGAAGGATCTTCTGATATTCCTGAGTGGAGAAAGTAAAAACATTTGTAGATAAAAGAAGACAGCACTTCAATAACATCCTAAATTTAATTTCAGTTACAATTTTGTTATGCTCAAAGCAGTCAATCCTTACATTCCTCTTCATTTCTGTTGGCCTAGATCCAGTGGTGGGATTCAATTTTTTTACTACTGGTTCTGTGGGTATGGCTTGGTGGGCGTGGCTTGGTGGGAATGGCAGGGGAAGGATACTGTAAAATCTCCATTCCCACTCCACTCCAGGGGAAGGTTACTGCAAAATCCCCATTTCCTCCCAATCAGCTGGGACTCGGGAGTCAGAGAATAGATGGGGGCAGGGCCAGTCAGAGGTGGTATTTACCAGTTCTCCAGAACTGCTGAAATCAACCTCTGCCTAGATCACTACCTGGTCTACCTTTATGTTTGTTTCTTGAAATAAAAAAATTGCCGAACAGATCTTGCAAGTCTAATTTTTGGAGACCTATAGCTGTCTCTCATTTCTACCATCCCTCAGTTCCCAATATATGCAATTGAATCTCTGCAGGATGAAGGGAAATATAGAAGAAGAAAAAAAGGGGGGGATTTTTCCACTCCCCCATAACCCTGTCAAGAAAATCTCAAATATTCTAATTCAAAACTACCTTTGTTTAATTAAATGTTTGTTTGATTGATTGTGCTCAGTTTAAATTATTTATATTTATTACATATTTTCTCAAACCCTATACTGTTTATTGATATGGATTAACATGCTGTAAGTATGTGTGATAAGTTGACATCAACTAGAAAGCCTGGACTTAACAAGAAAAGTTAAGCAGTAAATACAAAAGGAATATATTGTGATTTGGTGTTTAGAAATGAATGACCAAGGATCGACTTGCAAAGAAGAATGAGAGGGCGGAAGAAATAGCAAATCATAGTTATGTTAAGTTGATGAGATGCTAGAAAGGAGACCTGTGTGAAAAGAGTTCAAATTTTGTGGAAGCAAGATGGTTGGTATGAGAGAAAGGGATGGAGAGAGAGGGTTTTTTTATATTGCGGCAAATTAGTTGTACTGTATTTCCTTTCCTTTTCTCATGTCTTTATTTAGTTTATGATTTCTTATTCCCTTTCTGTGCTTTGCATGACACTCATCTATTTTAACCTCTTCCAAGCTTTAGGGAATTGAATAATCCCGCTGTTCCTAACGGATGCTATTCCTAATGGTTTTGAAAGAAATCAAAACCAGGGAGATTCAATCAAGACAATTTTTAAAACAATAACTCAATCTAGCAATCTAAGAAGCCAAAATTTGTACAAAAGCATTGAATCAAAAGCTGATAAAGCAGCAGGAAGAGAAAGTAAGAGAGAAAGAGAAGAGAAAAAGCTGCCCAGGATCAGCTCATTCTTTTGAAATCACAAATTAGGTGATTAGGAATACAATAAAGCACAATATTCACAGAATGTTTGTAGTAGAATATTTTTCTACAGACCAAATGGACATAAAAACACATCCAGACTACTGTTAACTAAAAGTGCATTGTTGAAGAGGTCAGGATAGCTGCCAACAGCAATTCTCAGGCCTCCCTGGATTCTCAGATATTTCACATGGAGGCCATTTTAGCAACTCTCAATGCTGAATATTGATTTAAACTGTTTCATTATTTTAAATGTACCCCACTGATCCAATTCAAAGGAGGGCAGGTAAAATCTGCTTTTTGTCTCTTAACAATTTTTGTGTGTGCAAGCACTAAGGACTTCATGTGTAAGCAGAGCTGGTATACAAATCAAATGAGACTGTCTCTGTTCTTAAACTTCAGACTAAACCATCAATAGAAAAGAATATGTGAGGCTCAGGGTTGAATTTTGGAGCTCTTAGTGCTATCTGAGTTTGGAAGTTTGGACCAAATCTATTGCTGAGCACGTTTGCTTTTTTGTAACCAGGGACCAAGGAAATGGCTGAGTGACCGGTAGAACTGCTTGGTTTTGTGACTCATGAAGCCTCAAATGCCCATTTCTGGAGCTGCATGATTCCAGAGCTCTGGTGCTACCAAAATATACAGACACAGAATATAGATGGAAATGTCCAAAGATAGTAATGTCCCACTTATTTTGGCTGTTTTTAACCTGGCCTTTAGAGGTCACAGCAAGTGCTCAGATGGATCTGGTAGACATTTTATCTTATTTATAACCTTGCAAAATACGGCTATATACAGTAAGGTGTTGAATATGAAGAATGGTAGAGACTACCTGAATATGATATGACACACGAGTTTGCAAAGATATAGTCAGTTCTTTGTAGCTGATAACAGAAGTTGACAATAGATGAGATAGCCAACATTCTCAGAGAGAGTATTTTTTTTTTTTATAGGAAAAGAGAGTCTGTTGCTTTGTTGGCAATGGTGAGGAAAGAATTGGAGATTTCTGGGAAGAAGAATGGAAGGGGGCTCATTCCTTGTTTGGTGAACCAAACTGGATTCTAGGCAGTGATACAGATATGTTGGTTCCAAGAGGTTCTGGTGGTTCCAACTAGGTGAAGAACTAGGTGAAGAGGATCACCTGAATAAAGAAAAGGAACAATGAGGAAAAGGCTTTGGTAGGAAGCTAAGGAAGAACAAGAAAGAGACCACTTCTTGTCAGCCCAAGAAAGAGAATGCCAGCGAGTAGTAATTAACACCCTTTTAGGTTAACTTTATATAACAGCAATGCACTTATTTAAAAATGTTTGGCAAGCTACTAATATATTAAGCTTCTAGCTTTTATTCTAATGTTTCTTGAAAGAAAAATGAATGAAAAAAAATGTAATTTGACATATGTAATTGCTGTTAAGGGAGCGCAGCTTAGTTGGATGGTTTGATATGAATGTACAGACAGCAATATGAGTGTATGCCTGAGTGTAATGCTATTATGTAATGTTATTATGGAAGGAGTGCAATGGCTCAGTTAAAATATTGAGCTTGTCAGTTGAAAAGCTGAACACCTGGGTTTGAGAACTAAGTGCTGTGAGATGCGATGAGCTCCTATTACTTGTCCCAGCTCCTGTCCACCTAGCAGTTTGAAAGCATGCAGATGAAAGTAGATAAATAGGTACCACTTTTGGTATGAAGGTAACAGCGTTCTGTGCACCTCAGCTTATAAACACATCACCACGGAAATGTCTTCAGACAACATTAGCACCCTTGGCTAAGAAATGAAGTTAAGTACCATCCCCTAGAGTCCAACACAACTGGACAGGGGAAACTCTAACCTAACCCTAATCTTTTACCTTACGCCGGAAAAGATGCCTAGAGAGTGGTTGGAGGGCGAGTCGCTCCGAATCCGACCGAACACTAGTTAGGTCTCATATTAAGACCTATCTAGTGGCGATAAAAGCGGCAAAGCGTAACCACTTTTCCGCTCTTATTGCATCGGCAGATAACCGCCCAGCCGCCTTGTTTAGGGTGACCCGCTCCCTCCTACATCAGGGAGCACGGGAGGACCCCTTGCAAGGGCAGGCTGAGGATTTTGCACAGTATCTGCACGATAAAATCGCTCAGATTCGGGAAGGCTTGGACTCTGACTGGGTAGATCCCGGCGGGGTGACTGAGGCTGGTCTTGAGAATGTTACCTGGGATGAGTTCGACCCTGTGACTCCTGAGGACGTGGACAGGATCCTGGGGAGGTTAAACGCAACCACATGTTTATTGGACCCGTGCCCCTCCTGGCTGGTACTGGCCACCCGGGAGGTAACACGAGGCTGGCTCCAGAGGATCATAAATGCTTCTCTGAGAGAGGGTTTCTTGCCTCCCGCCTTGAAAGAGGCGGTGGTGAGGCCCCTCCTCAAGAAGCCTTCTCTGGACCCGGCCGTTTTGGCAAACTATCGTCCGGTCTCCAACCTTCGCTTTGTTGCGAAGGTTGTGGAGAGTGTGGTTGCGCGCCAGCTCCCACAGTTCCTGGATGAAACCGTCTATCTAGATCCGTGCCAGTCCGGCTTCAGGCCTGGGTACAGCACGGAGACGGCATTGGTCGCATTGGTGGATGATCTCTGGAGGGCTCGGGACAGGGGTTGTTCCTCTGTTCTGGTCCTGTTAGACCTCTCAGCGGCTTTTGATACCATCGACCATGGTATCATGCTGCGCCGGCTGGAGGGACTGGGGGTGGGAGGCACCGTGTTGCGGTGGTTCTCCTCCTATCTCTCTGACCGGTCGCAGTCTGTGTTGGCAGGGGGGCAGAGGTCGACTTCGAGGCGCCTTGCTTGCGGGGTGCCGCAAGGGTCGGTCCTCTCGCCGCTCCTGTTCAACATTTATGTGAAGCCGCTGGGTGAGATCATCCGTGGTTTTGGGGTGCGATGCCATCTGTACGCTGATGACACTCAGCTGTACATTTCCACCCCAGACCACCCCAATGATGCCCTCGAAGTGATGTCCCAGTGTCTGGAGGCCGTGCGGGTCTGGATGGGGAGGAACAGGCTTCGGCTCAACCCTTCCAAGACCGAGTGGCTGTGGATGCCGGCGTCCCGGTATAGCCAGCTGGTGCCATCGCTGGCTATTGGGGGCGAGTCATTGACCCCCACAGAGGGGGCTCGCAACTTGGGCGTCCTCCTGGACACACGGCTGTCTTTAGAAGAGCATATGACGGCCGTGGCCAGGGGGGCTTTTTATCAGGTTCGCCTGATACGCCAGTTGCGCCCCTTTCTGGATCGGGACTCCTTGTGCACAGTCACTCATGCCTTGGTTACGTCACGCCTGGACTACTGTAACGCTCTCTACATGGGGCTCCCCCTGAGGAGCACCCGGAGGCTCCAGCTGGTGCAGAATGCGGCTGCGCGGGTGATTATGGGAGCGACGTGGCGCTCCCACGTAACACCTCTCCTGCGCGAGCTGCATTGGCTCCCGGTGGTCTTCCGGGTGCGCTTTAAGGTGTTGGTTCTCATCTTTAAAGCGCTCCATGGCTTAGGGCCAGGGTATTTGCGAGACCGCCTGCTGCTACCGATAACCTCCCACCGGCCAATACGCTCTCACAGAGAGGGCCTCCTCGGGGTGCCGTCGGTCA